ACACTTTTGACTATGAAACTTTAAAGATGAATTAGAGAGGTGCTGTTCTGGGGGTCAATAGGACACAGAAGAACAATGGTGCCTTTCTTTTATGAAGAGTAGAATGCCAGCTTTAACCTAGTGACGTGGTGGATATATGCTGCTCATGAAGATTCAGGTTATCTATATGACCACATCAAAATGATTTCTTGCCATTTTCTTTGTGAAGGTGACTGGACACGATGAACAGGAAGAGAGACAGTTTGCTACATCAGATGAGGTTGTGACTGATCACGTTACTTCCAAAGAAGCAGTTCAAAAGAATGTGCCACTGAAGTCCTCTGAGAAACTGCGAGTTTGTGAACCATCTAATGCCTATGACTTTGGTCAGATTATAAATGCAGTGAATGCCAATAAGGATAAAGCTGCTTGTGCAGATCTTTTAACAATTACTGATCCGAAAAAATTGCCAGTGCTGTTGAGTAACAAACTTGAAGGAGAAATCCTTCTGATATTTATCCAGTCATTGGAACGTTATGTAGCTGGAAAAGATCCTGGCCTTGTATATCAGCACCTTTTCTACTTGAGCAAAGCAGAAAGATTTAAGGTGAGAACCTAGATTGAATGTGTACTTAAATTGCACAGAAACTTAAAGGAAATTTTCAGAGCTTAAAAGGAAATCATACACTGGTTTTGTATCTCTGTCAGATACTATGATTTTCAGTCATCCTCTGCTATTTATAATTACAAAATATATAAAACAATTATAAAATAATTGTTGTGGGTTTTTTTTTCTTCAGGTGGTGTTGGCCCTTCTTAGCAAAAATGAAAAAGAAGAAGTGCAGCAACTGTTTGACTTACTTTCAGAAAACCAGAGTGATCAGTACTCATTGGAAGATCTTGAGAGCCTTAAAAAGGTTTATGAACTTTAAGAAGTTAAAGTTTATTGTCTGCATGTGGTTAGTTCATGTGTAAAAGATGGATCTATGATCTGCAGACTTGAATGAGTTCAAGTGGGTCTTTACCTGGAGTGCTGAAATTTTATTTTGTTTTGACAGCGTATGCACATTTAAAACTTGCTGCTCTTTTTTTCTTGTAGTTGTATACATCTCTAGAACTTAATGCATGCCTGTGTTCAGTAACAGAGTTCATTTTATTTGGCATACTGATTTTATTTAGACTGTATTAATTATATATGGAAAAATATGTTTTACATTATATATATATAATGTGGAATATCTTGATGGTGCAACAGATACATATACTTTTAGTCATCACTTGTTATATCATTTGGTGAGTTCTAAGTTCTTGAGATAAAGAAGTGAGATAAATGGGTCAGTTAGCAGTAGTTTTGCTAAAATAAGTTTACAAAAAGTATTAACACTTTTCAGATAAACTACTACAGGCCACCTGTTTCTTCAGTATCCCTGGTCTATACAAAACAGATTTAAATATTTTGGCACAATACAACTTAGTAGCAAAGGTGAATAAATAATATATTAGCTTGTCATGGAACTCTTTGAAACAAAATTGTTAAACATTGGGCATGTTTTCACAAATGAATAATTTTTAGTGCACAGAGAATTACTTTTTTTTCTGTGTGTGCTGAAGGACTGCTGGTTTGCCTGGCTTTTTTTTTTTTTGCAGTGACAGTGGTAAACAGAAGAAAACGTGGCTGCACTTCACAATAGAAATATTTATCTCTGAGTTTTGTAATTGGATTATTTAAAACATCAGCTGTTTCTGTTTACAGGCATATTTATAAAACTAAAAGTAAAATAATTTTGTGGATCAGTATGATTTTTTTTTATTTCAGGCAGTACTTATGTTTTATATTTGATTCTGACAATGCTTCAAAGATGAAGCTTTTAAATTTTTCAAATACCTGATGCCTTCTTTGTGTTATAAATAACGTGTGTTACAAATGTATATCAGACTCACAAGCACCACAGAAATATCATTAAGAATGTTGTTCTAATGAAATTTTTTCTCAGGTGTATATTGATAAAGTTCTTTTCTTGAAAAGGACAATTATCGATTCTCTTTTCTGGTTCAATACTCTTTAGGCTTACAGTTTTGAAGTGGATTATGAGTTTTGTCTTGGAGTGCGAAGAACAAAGCTTTTAGTTTCTGAAGCACCATCAGAACAACCAATGGTTTTTGGTTTTAAATGTCCTCTTTTTATGAGATTCTTGTAGTCAAGACAAATCTGTTGCTCATCTTATCTAGTTAAGCAACAACGTGCCAGTTTCATTCTTCAGTCCTGGTGTCAAACTGTTCACATTCACGCAGTTCAGTGTTACTGATTTCAGTCTTTCAGTTTTGTTCCACTATAGTTTAGTATGTTCAGAGAAGATTCATTGTATGTGTCCAACTGTAGTTCAGAAAAGAGAGCATAAAAATTAGGTGCGTAGTTTTAAAATAGTCTTAATTGCTTGGTAACTGTAGCTGAGTAAGAGCCCAGTGTCCAAAGCTCTTGATGAAGTCAAGTCTTTCTCTGTGCCACTCAACCCCCCCAAGTACTAAATGCTCCTTAGAGACAAACTTCAGCAGTCACAGCTGTTTCTTAGAAGGTATCTCATTTGTAAAGGGTTTTTTGACACTGAGGACAAAAATAAAAATGTCTGCAGCAGAAAATCATAATATAATTTAGTAAATTTAGCAGACAGCCTGACATTATTTAAGAGATAATGGCTTAAAAAAAGATTTTGAAATGGAAGGTTCTTGACAAATCATTTGTCCATGAAGAAAGAGACAAATAGGTGCTCACAGACAGACATACAGGATCACAGTTAATTTTAGGACAGTTTTAGTCAATCCCTAGTGATTAAACTAGAAACCTAAAAGTTGTCCACAGAAAAGCAGTCCAGTAGTCCAGAAAGATACCTTTTCTTTTAATACCTTTCACCTTCAGTGTCAGCTGAAACAGAGTGAATTCAGTTTGAGGTAAAAATGACTGAGATCGCAGATCAGGAACCTCAAGAAGTTCTAAACTGAGAGCTGCAGCAATGATTGCAAGTGAACTCATTACCCAGCTGGTGGCAGGGAGCTGTCACCAGCTGCAGGCAGAGCTCTACCCTCCCGTGTCAGGTGCAGGCAGCACCAGATTAAATAACAAACACCCCCTGATTTGACAAATCAGGGCTTGGCTGTGCAGTCACCCATCTTCTGAAGCAAAGAGCTGATCTTGAGGATGTCTCAACAGAGACTGTCTTCAGCAGACTCATAGGAGGGCAGGATTTGCTGGAAAGTTTATACTGAGCCCTGAGGAAATACCCAGCAATAAACAGGTTTCCCCTTTCTGTGTGTCTGATCTTGTCAGGTTAAGGCAGACCAGAAGGTTTGGCTCATTGAGTATATAGACAACCCCCCAAACTACCCCAAATGCTGTTCAGTAGGTAGCCCCTCTAGTCTGGCTTGACACTGGTCTCAGTATTTTCAGTATGTTCCCAGCCCTGGTCCCATACCAGGAGCTGCTTTTTAAAGTTTATTTAACTCATTCCAGTCTCTGATCCCAAAAGGGGAAGACACTTCCTTGATGACTTGCATTCCTGAAACTGCTGCCAGGCTGGGCTTGCGATCTCAGCAGATCCTTGGCATCAGCCCCACTCTGGGAGGTTTCCCAGTGTCCTCCAGCACCTTGTTGGGTGCCTCACTCCCCACTGAATTGCTGAGGCAGAAGCCATTGGGCACTAATTGATGCAGGAATTGTGAACACCCTGCTCTATGGATAGCAGACCCCTGGAGTTTTGGGCACTAATCCTTTACTACATCTCTTCTTTAAACATCAGGTCAAGCTGCATTATCTGCTAGTCTTTTCTGTCTGATGTTCTCTCATACCTGTCTCAACTAGGAACTTTTGGCCTCAGCTTCCTAAGTTAAAGAATTATATGTTGAAGTACAAGGGAACAAAGAAAAAACTGAACCATTGAATGTTGTAATGGCTGAAAAATGAAGTCGAATAGTCAGATATATATTTCTTAAAAAAAAAAAAAAAGGCAACTCTCAAAGGTAAGAAAAATAGTCCATGAAACTGAACAATAAAAATGAAAGAAGTTTGACATGAGATGTTCATCTGTAAGGCCAGCAGTGGATTTGCAGTGCCTACAGTCATTTTGGTGATGGTCCTCATTCAGATTTCATTGAGATTGACTGCATTTTCAGACAGCATTTAGGAGGGCCTGAGGGACAGGCAGAACAACTTTTAAAAACACAGAACTTAGACAAAAATAGAATAAAACATGTTAGGGACTGTACTGCTGATTTGACCTGAACACCTCAAGCCAAGGCCTCCAGGCTTCAAAACCTGCCCTTTCTGTGGGGCAGCATTAGATTACTGAAAGTAATTTTGTGGGCATGGGGCGCAAAAGGGAATATCTTTAGGTGTGGATTTCCTAAAACCACTTGTTTGGCAGGTAAGGGCTGCCTTAATATGTCCCTCTTGCCTTAGTCTGGGGAACAGCCTCAGAGCCAGAGGGAGAAATCTCTGCGGCCCTAAGTAGTTGCAGCTGAACAGCAGATGCAGAGTCACCTGTCAAAGACAATGTCCTTGGCCAGGTGACACGGAGTGGCCTCTGCACAGAGGTGGCAGCAGCACCCCTGGTGTGGAATTGGGGATGAGCAGCTGCTGACCAAAAGAGTTCCCTGCTCACCATGGCACTGAGTGGGACATTGGAGTGAACACAGGACTCAGAAACAATAGAGTGGAAAAGAGGGGAAAAAAACCCCACCCTGTTTTACTGGTATTGGTTTTTTACATTCTTTAAAGATTAAAGCCTTTTTGTCTTTAGAAGAGAGCAAGAGAACATCAAATAGTTGACCTGGCTTTGTGGCAGAGAGACCCAAATTGTAGCACAGTCTTACGTTCTCAAGCTTGTCACTTACCCCATCAGCATTAACATCCACCTTTGTGAAAACAAACAACAAACCAACCAAACCCAACAGCCATACAAAACCAGGAGGAGACCACTGGTGATGCAGGTGACAGGGACAGGCAAGTGAAGTGTGGTCCCCAGCGTGGCCACACACACAGAGCACATGGCCTGTACAGCTGAGCTAACTGGTGACCCACCTGCCCATGGATAGCTATCCCTGCCTGGGACCTCCCCACTGGAATGTAACACGTCAGTGGAGATGCAGCCTCCAGCTGTGGCAGTGCAGGGCACTGGTGTCAGTGCCACTTCCTTGCAGCCCCGTGCCATTTCTCAGTTAGTGCTTGCTAAATGCCACCCTTGTAAATAAATTCAGCAACATGAGAGTGGATTTTCTTGTAAGCGAGAGGGATTATAAAGGGATAAAGTGCCCATCGCACAGAAAGGTGTGCTCAGAAATGTCTTGAGCAGGCAGCCAGCGAGGAAAGGGCAGCTCGAGCACCCTAAATGCCATCAGCACTGGTCTGGTGGCTAAACATAACAGCTCAAATTTAGGCCATTTGGAATTTTAATGTCCTTACTGTGGAGATGGTAAGTAAGTCCTTTTGTCAAAGCTGGCTCACCAGGACCTTGTGCAAGGAGAGATGTGTTGTGTCAGCTTTGCCCACCAAAACGCTTCCTTCTGGTACCTGATGTGCAGGCAGGTGCCAAGGTTGTCACATGCCAATGCTACTCAGTTACCTGGCCTGGCACATGAACGAGGTGCAACAGCAGGCTCATGTTTGTTGTTGAGCTTCCACCTGTCGCGAGGAGCCTGGATTTTCTGCCAGATGGATACCTGTTCCCTCTGCTGCCTGATCCAAGGCCAAAACATTTCAAGGGAATGATAAGCAGTTTGATCACATTTTAGGCATCATCCCAGAGGCCGGCAAGGGGATGCTCTTACCCAGCTGTGGTTGCAGGCACTTCACCTCCTTCACCTGCCCCACAGAGCACATGTTAAATGAACAGCCTGGAGCTGGAGACAGGGCCAGGAATGATATGGCAGGAGCTTTGCACACAGGTCTGTTTGCAGGTGTCACTTGGTCCACTCACTCTTGCACACTTCACTGTGCAGGACACAGCTAAGGAGCAGCAGGACAGATTTGCTCAGTGGTACAGTCCCACTCCCTTTGGGCTTCCCATGTGCTGCTGCAGTGCCAGCCCTGTGCTTGTCCCCATACCGACGCAGTGCCCAGCCCTGCCCAGTGCCCTGCTCCATGAGAGCTGGGGGGAACCTCAGGTTCTTTCTGCAGAAATGAAGCTGAACAAAGTCACGTGGCAACCCCAGCGCAGAGCCTTTGCTTGCCTTGAACACTGCATTTCCCTGCTCCAGGTGGGGATTGCCATGATGAGGGACAGTGCAGAGTTGAGATCCACACCACATCCCTGTCCACAGCGACCTTCAGCAGCGGCAGGGCCTCTGTCACCCAGGAGGACAAGAAACCAAACTTCAGGATTAGAAAGTGACATGAAGGGAATAAACAAGCCAGATTTAGCATAGAGGGGCCCACAGCAGGCAAGGCCTGCAGCCCTGGAGACAGAGGGTAGGGAGCAGCACAGACATCCGAGGAGGGAGCACAGCTGGGCACGGTCACCAACAAGCATCTGTCCCTGTGCTTGTGGCTGCACTCCAAGGCCTCTGGGCAGCAGCCTCCCACCAAGGCCAGAGAAGCTACCACAAAATCCTAAACTCCATCTGAAAAGCTGTTGCAATCCTTTTACAAAGAAACAAATAATAATAACAATAAATAATAATATAAACATAAAATCTGTCTCCTCAGAAAAAAACACAACTTTTCTTTTTTTTGCATGGTGAGTTCCCTGACAGCTGAGTCTTGACTCTTAAGATTTTGAACAACCTCAGAGACAACTCTTGCTGCCCCTAGTTCTCAGTAACACTTTAAAATATCTCTGGTTCAACCTAATTAAGTATAAGAGAAAGAATGCTATGCTATTCTGTTTTTGCAATAACTTTGAATTTGTCTGACAGTGACAAGGAGGAGATCTAGAGGCAGCTACTCCAAGCAGCTCTTTCAGCACAGCCCAAGGTGTTCCTTCACAGCAACAGAATGCACCACACAATCCAGTTCCTCTACCAAAAAACCCTTTATA